AATTTCCTTTCTTTGCCTAGTGAGAGGCTAATTGTTGATAATCATAACAAGCTCTCCCGAGGGCCTTCATACAATATCTCCCTCTTCTTCCAACTGTTTCTCTGTGCCACATGTTTCCCAATGAGGGCCATCTGCATTGCACATTCTGCTGGAAACTAATTCTCATTCCTTTAATGCTTCTTTGTAGAAGTGTTAAAAGACCAGGAGCCTTTGATTAAGGCGACACACACATACACATTCAAACACCCCTCAGTAGATATAATATGACCAGCTACATTATCTAGTTTCAACAGTGGACCACACTTCATATAACATCAATTTGCAGCCTGTTATAAAGTTATTTCTTTGAAGCGCGAGGGGTAAATTAGCATAGACACAGTGCGGATTTGCCCACCCGTAGTGTGGTGTGTTCAGCTGCAAAACTTTCACAGATAAATGATGCTGTGTGAGCTGCCAGTCGGGGTGATGAGCTGAAGCAGAGCTGTCATTCCTCTTCTTCATCAGAGCTCCATGAACCTTGGCACACAGCTGACCCCCAAACCCTTTCTAACAGCAACGGCTTATGCGTATGTGTGGTGTGTGAATGTGTATCCCTTCACAGATGCAGGCATCATCACAATACAGGAGGAATTAATGTGTAAAGGCAGTTGTCCTCCAAATTGTTTATTAAAGAAGAGCTTGTGACTCAGAACAAGGAACATCCAATTGAAGGTGATACTTGCTTTCTTCATATGTGAAAACAGTGAATGGACATTTGAAGATGTGCCACAAGCTAAATGGAAACAAACCCACTTTCATTTCACTTTGACAGCCAAAGCTCTAGTTCATCTCTGTTGTGTTTCTATTTGAAGATGTGCTCTGTACTGTAGCTAAGCTGACAGTTTTTTCACTCTCCATATATAAAGTAATTGCATGGTTAAAGCTGCCCAGTGAATTCTGTCCTGCCTTGTATAATTCAGCTTCTGCAGGAACCTCCACTCGTGTATCTCACCATTCAGCAATGCCACACAGTTTGGTTCCCTGCCAGAGCATACAGTAGCTCCCCCACAGTCCCCTGACTTAACTTCCACACACATCCGCCTGCAATCAGAGCTTGGCCAATCTGCCCAGTGTCTTGAATTACACTGCAGTTCACTTTGATAAGGACTAAGCGCCTTAGTCATGCAGATTTCTGGTGGAAGTGGTGTGGATTCCATACATAACTGGAAGAACAGTAGAGTAAAGAAAAGTATAGACAAAGTTAAGCCACTTGCCAGCTCAAGATCCCCCCGATTTCCGTTTTCATTTTCACATCCCCATGGTGCCACAAGAAGAATGTGTGTGTGTGTGTGTGTGTGTGTGTGTGTGTGTGTGTGTGTGTGTGTGTGTGTGTGTTGCTTTGCTTGAGCATCCATGCTGCTTCATGGAAGGGGATCTGTTTTGGCTCCTTTTCAGCATTCCTGGGCAGAGGCGTCATGCCCTCCATGTATGTCCTACTGTGACTGATGGTGTAAAGAGGGGTATACTCAGGGAGAACGTAGCATGATGACAATGTAAAGAGACGAGGGACTGAAAGTCCGATCTTACCGATGCAGCTGTTGAGGATTTGGAAAGTGACTTTTCCTCCCTTTCAGCACAGTGAACCTGGATTAAGGCAGGACAACACTTAGTGTAGAGAAACTTTGCCCTGAGAAACCTTGTCATGTGCATAGCGGAGCATGTGACAGTGAAAAGAGATTGATCTGAAGAGATAAATATGGTGGGACAGCTGCTGGGTGTAAATGTCCTATGCAGAGAAAACGAGAGGGGAGAGAGCGACTAAAAAGAAGCATGAGGGGGAAACTGCAGAGTCATTTATAATATATTGATGATGGTCTTTTGGATCACCCGTAGGGCTGTGCTAACACAGCAGACTCAGCAGTTTGGCAACAGTAGTTTTCTCACACCCACCTTTACATGCAGGGCTGTGAGGCACTGGTGAGACCTATATCTGAACCTCAAGGCTTTGCCAAGGAACGATCAGTAGCCTGTTAGCTCTGTAAACAAAGGAAAGATGCTTTCATTATACCTGGATGTGCTTAGTTCCACATCCTGTCATTTTGATTTTGCTGTCTCCTACCCACCCTGTATATGGAACAGAGATTATGCACTATAGTGTCTCAATGTATGCATTTGTGCCAGAAAAGCAGACGGAGTGTAGAATGGATGGAACGCTCTCTGCAGCATGTTGTCCATAATCCCTACAGGGTGTTAAACCTAGGATGGCATGACTCATAGACACACAGCTAAGCTCACATAAAAAAGCTCAAACAGCCTGCTTCACACTAATTCAAGTAAATTTATTACAACTGGACTTTTAGCACCCCCTTCCTAAACAATTACTAAAGTCAGACCAGTCAGGTAACAGGTATGCAGCAAGCCTCCAGTAATACTGTCAACCTGTTGCTGACCATGCTTATGTTGATGTGTACTAGATGTTTCAGAGCACATTCATGAATTCATCTCAAAGGTTTTTGTCATCCAGCGCCATGGTACACAGTGTGTTTCAACTCCAGGCTAGTCCAGCAGAGCCACATTTCGTCTTCCTCAGCATGAGGGAAGCCGGCCGTTCTCAGCTGACTTGCCGATGTGTGCCAGCGCTGGCTGACACCGCCTCATTCACAGCTGTGTGAGCTCTGTGTATGCCGCAGCTGCAGGGCTCTACTCTCTCCCATGAGACAAATGATACTCCATTACCACACACACAGCACTGCAGTGGCTTTCAGTGGCTCTCTCCCTGCTTTTTATTAAAGCAAGGTTATTTGTTTTCACTGTCCTCATTACAAAGTCGCACATTGTATTCCCAGTCTGTAAAAAAAAAAAAAAAAAAAATCAGTCATGACGAATTTTAATCTCTTTTTTTTTGGGATAGTTGGTTTGTTTCCACCTTGAGAACAGAGAGCCATGTGCTAGAATGCCAAGGTCAGCTTCCTTCCCCTGTTGGATCTTAAAGAATGGTGTTTGAATGCTGAATTGCAAACACCGACAAAGCCGCGAGAAGGCTCTCTGTTTCCAGTGTAATAAAGAATGTCATGTATATTTCTCAAGATAATGAGCCATCATCATGGTTGCTGCAAGATCTCACAGAGGCACACACAGAGCACATCAATTCGTCCACACGTGCTGCATACAGACACAAACAGGGTTAAGGGCCACAGATGGTAAATATAGCTCACAGAGAGTGAGTGATCACATTTGAAGCCACATTATAGTTTGTTTATAGTTATAGGAATGCAAGATAATGTCTGATGTCCAGAAATCTATCTCCTGAGCATGACTTGCAGTACTGTGGAAATATTGTTCCAACATTGTGCCTACTGGATGCTGATGGCCATCTTGTTTTTCTCCATGGCCATTGTTTAGAGCTGACTGTCCACAGTCCCCCAGGGAACAGGAAGGAGGCAGGCTTGTAATGATGAGGAATAATGCTGTAACGTAATTATATTTGTCTTGTTGCACAGTGCAGAGCCCTAATTAATTCTGCCTGCTAATGGGGGGAACAAACTGTCTTGTTTTTGCTGGCTGTCACTCTTTCATCCTCTACAGCAGTTTGCACATTCTCGCTTGATTTTCTTCCCTCCTGGCACCTTGTTATCTCTTTGGTTCCTTATTATTTATCAGTCCTCACCTTCTGCGACCCTCGCACACGAACATTATGCTCATTCTCTTATCATTACGGCCCTTCGTTCTGTTGTGCCCGCCCACCCGGCCGCTCAGTGCTTCTCACTCCATGCTTGGCCTTAGGTCTTTTGACAGAAATTGAAAACCATGAAGCTGATTCGTTCTATTTTGGCCTTGCCTTTAAATCCTTTATACAATAAACGAGTCTTTAATGAAATGAGGTTCTGAAGAGATGAGGAAAAGTCAGTGTAAGACAATTGTGCCTGACATATTAAGATTCATACCTGACTGATTGAACACAGTATGTGCAGTAATTTGTCCCAGTCAGTCTCAACAGATTCATATATTGTGCTTGACTGAACATTTGCTTTGGAGTGTCCCCCAGCCACAACCTTTTCCTCCATATGCATGAACATTTCAGCTTGTCTCAGAAATCTAAACCTTCAGTAGATTGTGCTTTATATTGAAGGAACACAAAACTAAAGTCCCATCAGTTAGTTCTGGCAGTGGCAGTTGCCGTTTGGTAAGCTTATGCAACAGACAGAGGGAAACTTTAGCCAACATTCTTCTCAATAAAATAAAAATTAAAGCAGCATCTGTTCCCTCATACTGCAAGTCTTCCTGTGGAAAGAAAAGTGACCCCTGATGTATTCGAGAGAGAGAGGCGCTAAATCAGCCGAGATGCTGTCTGCTGCTCTCACATGAAGGTGCATCTAGAGAATCATCATTCATGCTGGAGAGCAGATGCAGCGCTTTGACATCCTATGTACCTTGCCTTGGCTGTGCCTCTCTGTGTGCCCATGTGTTTTTTGCATTCCTATTTTGTGTGTGTGTGTGTGTGTTTGTAAGTTTGATCTCATTAGAGTGCTCTGAAAGATAAAACAAAACAAAAACAGAACTGCATATGTGCACAAACGACCAGGCGCATTTGCCTTCAAGACATTCACCTTGGCTTGTTGTGACCCTGCTTTCTGCTGCTGCATGCAAGGTCACACTCTAAGAGCTGTATTGTGTTGAGTGAGTGTCAGACCAGGTGGTCGACCATTCTGTAAAAGAGAGGAAACTTCAGCATCCTGCTGTGTAACCTGCTATAAACACAAGTTGTACTGTGGACACATTTTAGTAACAACTCAAGGCTGGTTGGATACAAGCCTAAGTTTTTATACTCCTGCTTTATTTGGTTGACGAGCTTTTTTTCTCTGCGGTATTGTAATTCATGGGATTGGCTCACTGGTTGCTTGATTCAATAAATGAGGGCGTAAATAAAAAAAAACTAAATAAGATGCAATAAATTTCCTTTTAAACATGGTTTCCCTGAGAGTAAGACCAGAAACTGACTGACATGCTGTTTATTTTTGCAGACTTTTGACCTCCCCAGCCTGAGGTGGAGACAGTCTCTCTTCCTGTTTCTCACCCTTGTAGGAAGGTAAGATTAATGCTGTCACACCCTTCCTCCATCTGCTATGATAATCTGTAAGCATATACAAAGATCCTTTAATTACTCAGCAGGATTTGATCCTTGAACATCTCCTGTGTATTGCTCAGTTTATTCATCAAGCCCACTCAGATGGAAAAGTGCTTGAGCTCACATTAATTCAAACATGTCTTTAATTGCAGCCCACACCCTCACACCTGGGGTTACACTTCACGCAGAGTTGGTTAAGATACAGATCTTGTCCAGATTACAGTGGACTCAGAGTTGTGAGGGTGAACACGCAGAGGGCACACTGATAACCACCCAGACCTCCCTGCTGTGTGGTATCCATGCTTCAAAGAGAAGCACTGCTTAATGCGGCTACCTAAAATTAGCCAGTCAACAGATAACCTGTGCCTTGAGATCAAATCGAGGCTGAACTGTTAGGCTCTTTGACAGTGCCTCGCATGGCAGAGAAGGAGGAATGTAGAGTGAGGGCGACACAGAGATGGCCAGAAAGCGAGTATAGCTTCAGTGCCAGCCATGCAATGGGATGTGTGCTCAAGAGGACCTACTGTATATACTGTAGGCGGAAAGTTCCATGGCAGAAGATCATTCACAAGGGCTTTGGATTGAAAGGGTCAAGGTTTTGTGTGTTTCACGTCACACTCTCACTTTCACAATGCATTTCTGTTCCCCAGAAATCTAATCTGCTGCCATTTAAAACCACAGTTTCTTTAACAAGCTAAAGCAAGACAAAAAATTAGAGGGAAGAGGACCTGGGGAGAATCTGAATCCGTTATGACTGTCATTTACCTGCCTCAAGGTGCAAACATTTATCTCTAGTGTTTTTCCACTGGACTGATGTCCCTCTGTAAAAATAATTTAAAAAATAAATCACATTTGGACTGTTGGACAGTGTTTCTTCCTGGTTCATATCTGCAGTAAAGTCATCAGGAGATGCTATGAACTAATTTTCACCCTTCGTGAATTTATTTCTTGTGTGGCAGTAAAACATCTGCCTACAGAAACTCCTACAGGTAAAACTGGACTAACAAAGCACCTTGAAGGTGCTCTACTGAATTTCTTTTCAGCTGCTAGAGGGTTTATTTGGTCATCTCTGTTTCGATGATGAGATTTATAGGTCGCCACATGATGGTGACAGGGACATCAGAGAAATTAGTTGATGAAAAGGTTAGGTAAATTAGTACACAGACAAGGATGACAGAGTTTGTGTTTTGTTTATTTTCAGAGTGACAGAGTTGTTGAGGTCAGCTTATTAAAAACAATGTTCAGGCTCTATTGGGTTTGCATACCAAAGTGCATTTAAATAGCAGTACAACATAATGCGCAATTAGATGGCAGCCTCAGCGTTGTCTTCATTTGCAATCGGGTGTGTAGGGAGAATGTTGTATTTTCAGTTGTCTGTTGTTTGCAGTGCTGCTCTGGAACCAGCTGTATCCTGCTTGTCCTTTTGTCCCCATGGAAGCATCTGTGTTTCTCTGTTAACAGGAAAAGAAAGAAGAGAGAGAAAGAACGGGGCCACAAGGCTTGTTCAGTTAGTGTTCAGTGTGATTAAATGTGCAATTAGGCAAAAAACAAGAACGGAGCCTTTGAAAACAGTGCTATTTAGCAGTGTACTGTATATCTTGATTTACTTTTATAACTATGACATCTGTAGCACTATGTGCGTGTGTAACTAAATTTGTCCTCGGATGGAAAGTCATTCAGTCATATTGCCGACAAGGACACATACAAGCATGTCTCACAACCTTTCAGCCTGGAGCAACAGCTCCATTGGGCCTCTCTGACCACTAATGGCCCTGCAGCACAGTACAAGGTGGTTAACACACTGGGGGAGTGTGTATATATACAGTATAGAGTGCCATAGCAGCGAGTCCTAACAGAACTAGCACTTTTGAATTTCCCGTCCCCTCGCCCTGAAGTCGGTGGGCTTTTTGAATGGGTTTTTATTATTGTCAAAGGCACCAGGGTGATGCCAACTTCTGGGTTGGCCTACAAAATTACATTGCTGGGGGGGGATTGCTGTCTCTCCTGTTGTGCTAGCTGAAAGATACTGACTGATGCAGTTTCACCAGTGAACACTTTACATAGTTAATTCCCCATCCAGATGGCACCACATGCACCGGTGGCCAACAGAGACCTTATATGCCTGTCTTTAATTGGCTATTTATTGACTCTGCTACAGCACGGGAGACGATAAATAAACCAGCTGGTTGAGAGAGGGAGGTGGCAGACAAGTGTGGGGATGTCAGTGTTATTGTGTGTGTCAGATCTATGGTTGCATTATTTATACATCTCATTTTTATTTATGTAGCTACAGTAGGATCAGTAGAGCAAAACATGATGGAACAATACAAACAAAACCTGTTTCTTGGACACAGTTTATTTGCACAGGTCACTGCACGTTGGTTCTGTTTGGGAAGATGGTGTGAGCACGCAGAGGAACTGTAGGCGGACTTTAGTCGTAAAGGCTTGGCAGTTCACTTTGGGTCTCCAAGAGCCTCTATTTGACAGCGGACAGCAGTCTTCATTGTCACTTTAAATAATGTCACATAATGTATGTGTGTGGCAGTTTATGCATGCATGCTTATGTGTATGGATGCATGAATTGTTTGTCTCATAATGCAATGTGATGATGTGCTCTTCTGAATGAAAACTAATGGAAAATATAAGTATGATCTGTCAAAACATTTCACAACATGTGCACCTGATAGCGCTTGTCTAAGAAAGCAAAGAAGAGGCAAGGGAAGATTTCTAATTTCTTCAGCCAGAAGGATAATTAATCTGCTGATTTGTGCCTGAGCAGAGCTTGATGTAGAGGAGCTCATTAGAGCCTCAGTGCAAAAAATCCCATCTTGACCTTTCATTCAGTCTTCAGATGAAACTGCCAACTTTTATTCTCTAAAACAAAGAAGTCTTCCTAGTTTTCACAAAGCATATTTTGTGTGATTTTAAACTTTTTAAATGTAGTTTTTAAAAAATAAAATCAGCCAGTTTTACACACAGTTATAAATATGCTACAATAAACTGAGATATTTGACAATGCTGTGGTTGCATGTATGTGGCATGTTTTAGTGAATGAATGCTTATGTAATGATCAATAATACACAGTCAAATGTGCCAAACAATGGGAGAGCATTCATATGGGAGCCCAGTATACGAGTTAAATGATGTTTTCCCATTATTCGGCCATGCCATCATAAATCTTCAGAACTCCACAATAAGCAACATTGTTTTCCAGACGCAACCTGCTGTTAAAAGGTTTAACTTGCACTGCACATTCTCAGCTCTGCAGCACAATGATGTGTTGCTCTCACACAGATTCTCCAACAGAGGTTAAACGGCCACCTTGCCACGCATTCTCACACACACACACACACACCTCATAGCAATGTCAACCTCTTGATTGTTTCTTCAACCTGTTGCTTTGCTCAGTCAGTCAGTTCATCCATCCAAACTACTTAACCAGCCAGCGAAGCCAGAAAAAACTGTGATCAGAATTGCACAGCTCCGTCATCCTCCAACCGTGCTGCTCCTCTAGGCTGGGAGCTATCCCTGGAATGTCCCCTCCTGCTGGGTTGCACTCATCCAGGTCCCATTCTGGTAAATGCCAACTGGCTCAGATGGGCTTTGATGCTAGCCTTGTACATAAATGCCTTTTTGTGTGTGTGTGTATGTACATGTGGTCTGTGCAAGCATATGTGCATGTTTGTGTGAATGCTGACAGGCAGCCAGCTCTGGGTATTGATCTGTAGCCATTCCGACTGGAGCCCAAAGGGCAGGCTGTATCATCTGTCACTCTGCTTAGAAGCACTGATCTTAGATCACAAATGCCAGTCGGGGGGTAGAAAGTTGTAGAGCAAGAAAGACTGAAGCTGTGAAAAGATGTAGTTGCTATGAGCATGTATGTGTGGTAACGAGTGTGTCTCTGCTTGGCCTCCTGAGTGGTAAAGCTGCTCTCTGTTTACTCCTTCACTGTCCAAGGTGATTGAGACAAACATCCGTCTCTAGGACCCATGGCTGAAGACAACAATCAGTGCTGACCAGTTCACCTTCATGACCTTCATGTGTGCTTTAAACATCCATGTTTCTCCTAGCAGCTCTTTCCACATTGCAATGACAACACAATTACACACCACTCAGACATAACATGGATACACATCAAATTATTTGCACATAAACAGGTCTGTGTGTGTAGCTCTAGGGACAAATAATGAATCTTAATGTGATACCATAATGACTGTAAAATGACTTCTAAGGTTACAGCATTTCTTTCTAAGATAAGAATTAGAACTGAGCTGGTTTTACCACTTTCTTTGTTTGTAAAACCTTAAGTCACTCTGCTCTTTGGTCTTTGTCTAAAGTCGGTCTTTTTAGGTTCTTTCACTGTTATATTCGTTCACAGGGCTCTGGTCTACCTATTGTGTTCATGGCTGAGATTGGTTTGGTTTTTAAGGTGTCTGAAGTCCTGTGTTGTTTTGCCAGAGATAGACACTGATGATTGTATCGACAAAGCCCAAGGTTGCTTCAAGTCTTGCGTGACTCCACGCCGCCTTGGTTTTTCACAATGATTATTCCATTACTCTAAATCTCCTAAATCTGTTCCTGCCACACATTTAACACACTGATGGGTCTCTTGTGGCTTCAGTTTAAATGTTTTGATGATTCCAACCTCTGAGTGTAGGAGCCTCTAGCACTCATAAAGCAAGAGTCCCAATAATGGATAAACAGAAACCCTGTTGTATTTGTCTGGTAACCTTTAATCCCATCAAATGGATAAATGACCAGTTTGTGCCTCATTTTGATAATGGCACAGTATGTTGATAAATGTGAATTCCTGTTTAAGGGAAGTATGTTGTTACCAAGCGGTAACCTCCAAGGCTGACAAATGACACCAGTGTGGGAGTGCCAAAACCTGCCACTTGAGGCTGGCTCCAAATAAACATGTTTACAGCCTGGTTAAAAAAAAAGGATGTTTTCTTTTGTTAATTTCCCCTTTCATGACAACTATACGGGGGTGAAATGTTATACAAGTTGCCCATTTAATATTATATTGAGGCTAAAGGTTGCACATAATTAAGGGTGTTTCCACTTTGAGTTACAGGTGGGATGGTCCTCCACAGGTGACTAGCTGCTAGCTATCGCCACCTCTTTGCCAGGCACGAGCTTCAAACCGCTCTACAGAAAACCAGCGGGTGATGCCACAGTGGGTTTGTACACCTTTTATAAACAGTCAGTGGGTTTTATTTTAGCTTCAAACTGTCACTTTGGTAAGGTCTTCTGAAACCACCTTGCACTAAATCAAATATATAGATAAAATGTGTATATTAGTTGGCACAAAAAACATGTTTTTAATGAAGAAGCAAAATCTAGAAATCTTTGGAGTCATAATGTAGCGTGAATGCTACACTCAGAAAAAGTAATTCGATTGTCTGTTCCAAGATTAAACACTCGGTACCGCTAAATTATTTGAGGTCGTCTTTGTCACTAACAAGTGTCCTGTATGATCCAGGGTTAATGCTGCAGTATCAATCGTTTGTGTGCTGAGATATTTTTAATAATGGATTTTGGGTGAAAACTCTGAGATTTGATTCAACCTCATGTTTGGGAAATTATCCGAGTCATTGTTTTCCATTTCTCATGTAAATGATCCAGCACATCTCCAGTGATTGAATAGGGGCTGTATACTGTTACACAATGCATTTCCATTGTTTATGTCCCCTCCTCAATAGATCTTTATGCAGTTACAGCTGTATGCATCTATATTAGCCTTCATGGTTATGATCACATGCAGGTTGTATTTTATATTTTTATACTTCTACCTGCTTCATTTTACATGTAATCTATCCCTAAGTGGTAACGGTCTGGAATTCATACTCCTGCGGATGTCATCTACAGTAAATAGGAGAAATAAAAAATGTCTTATCTGTCTGCTAATAATCCTGCCAGATATAATGTGTGGTTTTCTGAGGCAAAGACTGATAACAAAAGTTTACTTTTGAGGCTGATAGCACATTTTACACACTGTGGTTAACGAATCGAAACCTGAAAACAAGAGCCTTTTGTAAGGGTTTCATTGAGAGATCAACAAACAGAACACGGGTGATTCTGTTTGCTTTACTTTATCAGGAATCCCAGAAGGACTCCCAGTGTCTCAAGGCAAAACCAGCCATTAGACCAGTCCATTAGCTGTGAGAAAACAACAGACGCAAGAAACAAGTCGATTTGGATTTGAAATGAAATGCTTCTACCTCAAGTTTAATGTATATTTTCAGATTCTCTTAAAAAATAAGTAAAATATCAAGTTATAATATTTTAAGACAATCTATGTACATTAGTGTCTTCAGAGCAAAGGAGCTGAAGGTGAAATCAGATGGGACACTGCTGATCTAACATCACCTCACAGTGGAGCTAAAAAGGGACAATTTAAATATCCTTTCAAATGAAAATGTCTATTCTGCTGCAGTGGACTGCAACATGTTGACAACACATACTGAGTGTTTTCTTCCCTTTTGTCTTCTTGTGTGTCGATTCTGTTCACCGGTCCCAGTGGAGATCATTAAGAAACAGTGTTTGCATACTGTGATGGTGAGCACAGGTCTACTGATTTTGTGAGGTTTATAGTCAGTGTAGCAGAGTGCACTGAAGTATTTTAGCCAGGGGTGTGTGCATGTGTGTGGAGGAGGATCAGAATGGTGTTTAATGCGCAGGGCTGGAAGGTTGAGTAAGGATTTATGTGAGATTCCAGCCCCCAGTGATCCAAGGTATTTTATCTGTAGAAGCCCCCACTGTCAAGTCCTAATGGTGTGGGTGTGAGCGTGTGTGTGTGTGTGTGTCTTTACCTCCGTGTGAACATATGACATAGAAACATTTTATCATCCATTCAGATTAATTTATGCCTCCCTCTAAAAGTCATCCTTTACAGTCTGATTCATGTCGATTTGCTCTTAAGTTGTGTAGCATCTAAAGTGTTCCTCCATGCTCCTTTTGTTGTCACTGTTCCAGGACACTCACCCCTGTACTAATCCTCTGAAAATAGATACCATGTTCATATTTTTATCTTATTGCTGGCACAACATTACTTCTATCAACATTGCACACCGTAACTCATTGTAATATTTTGCATTGAGTAATAATCAATAAATGTATTTGGCTCTTTTCATGAAATGATCTCCTGGGAAAGATGTTGACACAGTTGTGACTGGAAAAGCTCACATTCTGTTCAACTAAGGATTATATAGTAATGTAGGTCTGTAGCTGCTTTAATCTCTCACTGGGCTGGACTTGTGCTTTGGGGTAGAAGTGGGGTACTGGTAGATTTGCTGATAGACCATGTAGACGGACAGATGGGCAGTTTTTAGTGATGCCACCGATGCCAGGGATCAGACATCAGAGGCAACCTTTCACCTCCGAGGCAATGTCTATAGCAAAAGGAGGCTGCCCTGGTTGCTGTATAAGTGTGTTATTTACAATCAAGTTGGCAACTGACAAAGTCTCAGTATTGTTAGGGGCTTGGTGGAAGAGGAGTGTGTTTGTATTGGCAGGAAAACGTTTTCATATTGGATAACATTGTTAACCATAGTTATTAACTGAATGTAAAAAGGGTAAGTTGTGTTCAGACAAAGTGAGAAGAATTTGAATCAGCACAATTGCAAACCAAGTCAAAGGAAAGACGAGTGGGCACAGTTGGATGCAACTGCACAAGGTGAAATTGTTTAGCAAACTGGAGCAAAAAAGAAAAAAAAAAGACTTATCCCAGGGCTATGAATCTACTTTTTAAAAGTGTTCCTGCAGAGATGTGAGTTTAGTCAGACGATTAACTGCCACACAAACAAAACGTGTGTGTGTGTGTGTGTGTGTGTGTGTGTGTGTGTGTGTGTGCGTGTCCTTTCCTAGCCACTAACGTCTGCAGTTGGTATGTTGGCTGTTATGGGCACATTAACATGGATTGCACAAGTGGTCTAGGGGTCAAATGTGTGCAAATGATTGATGTTCTGACCGACCACACTGCAAAGGCAACAAAGCAGTAAATGCTGAGAGGGACTGTGTTTTATGACAGGACTTCAGCTTTTGTCTGTTTCACCAATGTCAGAGATTTCACATGCTCATTCCTTCATTCCCTGCATGTCATCTGCTACAGTATGTGCAAATGCTTACAGTATATTTGTATTAAAGTTTTGTGTGTTAAGGGAGCAGCTGCTCCATTAGGGAGAAAAGAGTAAGTGATTAGGATAAGGTGTGGTGGACCTCACTTGTCTCTTGGCTCCCTTTGTCTAGAGACCATCTACTGTCCCATCTTTAAGATGACATAGCTATCCTTCTGAGGACAACTACAAACTGCTTTGCATTACTGAGCACTTGTATCAGAAGAAGCACATGCTCAGACGTCACTGCAACCTGTGATGTTTGTTTGTGCCTTGCAGTCAGTGTCAGTCATGTGTTTTAGCATTCCCTAAGCATGCCTTCCTTCCTAATCATGACTGTCTTTGTGGTGCACATGAAAGTTCTTCTATCACCTCCTGTGTCTGGTCAAAGCATCATGCATACCAAAACATTTGTTTGTGTTCATATCCCCTCAGAACTGATGGAGAAGAGGGAAAAGGGAGAGATCAAAGGGGAAGTGCAAGAATAAATGTGTGAGGAAATGTGAAAGGGGGCCAGAAGAAGGAAAACCAATTTGATTTTGTCATGTGGGTGATCCATATTACCCTGAGCTGCAGCATAAGTTGGAATTGAAACCCCAGCTGGCCATAAGAAATCCATTGTGGTTTTTTTTTTTTTTTGCATTAATCTTCGACCTTTGTCAAATCATGCATTTCTGTGTTTCACGTGAACTTTTCTTCCCTATTATGCCATTATAAAAAGTCCCCTTCCTTCGCCCCTATTTTAAAAAGATGTTCAAAGGCTTGTATCTAAAGAACGAATAAAAAAAAAAAGCCCTGATATTTTTTGATAAATAATAGTTGCTTCTCCTTGGCAACCCTTTATAAAGCGTCTTCAGAATTTATCTGGTCCTGCACCTAACCGTATTCATCACAATGTAAAATGCTGCACCTTAAATACTGTACATCACAGACCGGCCACAGGGCCACCGTAAATCAAAACTACTATGGCCTTGACATCTGCATTAGGCCTCTAAAGCACTTTTTGCTATTCAGACAGTGTGAGATCCTTGTTTACCACAGCATCATGTACCGTATGTGTGTGCATGTACTACAACAGGTGGAGTATGTCTGTGTCTGCGTCTGTCCCTCGGTAGACTGAAGTGATTTATGGACTCTACCTGTTGAGTGTTTTTAGTCCAGGCTTGGTGTGGTCTCCTCATTGCACAGCCAGGCGTCTGGATGAGGGTCATGCCTCCTCTGTTACAGTGATCTACCAGACCCTCATACACATGCACACAGTAATGTGGAGTGACAGTGGCACCTGGGTATGTAGTAATTTTTTCTGTTCGTGTCCAGATCAGGCACATGCACGGATGTATGCAAAACACATTGTGACTGCAGCATTGGGGAACAGTTTTAACAAAGGGCATTTTCTTTTGTGAGTATTTAAAAGCGAGGACTCTGTGTATTTGACTTTTAGATTGGCTTCATAGTTACAGATCAGTGGTCAGGCTCAGATGTGTCCAGCTGTTTTCCACATATGCACCGTCTCTGTGCCTGTGGCACATCTGAGAGCACTTTGTTCTCGTCTGCTCCAGCCTCCCATATCTTGACTGAAACTGACATTTTATGAATTTATGTTTTAACACAGCAAGTCCTTTACCTCCTGAGGAGAATGGAGGGTTTCTTTTTTGTGCAGTCTTTTGAGCACTGAGCTCTGTTGTTCTCACTCTCGTGTCATTTTTGTGCTTGATAGCAGTTTTCTTTTTCCTGTTTCTGGAGATTACAGAATAACTTCCATTTCACTCCTGCAGCTGTCATTGGCCCACTGAACAGCCCTCGGAGGTACAAGCAGCTGAAAACCTGCAGCAAGCGCAGGGTGCAGCAGCTTTGGCAGTGGATTAAATGCAAAGCCTTGGGCATTTGGAATAAAATGCTCTAAACTGATTTGGCGTGCACCGTTTAAATGGAGAATGCTGCTAATAGTTCTTCATTACTACAGGTCCATTGCCTGCATACTTGGTGATAGTTCAGTAGACCCCCATTAGACAGAAGGCAAATTCATTCACTTTAAAAGCCTGTGATAGTGATGCAAGTTAATGGGG